AGACAACAACCATCAATATAAAAAACTTAAGTAAAAATAACTTACTAAGTTGAGTAACATACACCAACCAAGAGACCCCCTAATAGCAAGAGGAGCTGAAAATAAGCTTAAAACAAGGAAAGAGAGGCAAGAAAACCAACCGAAGGTAGAGCCATAACGACCAGTACCCAAAACTCATAACACAAAGGCAAAGAACCCCCAAAACCCTAATCCTAACTTCACCATTTCCATCACGAACCACTCCTGATGGTGGCGTTAGGCCTAGCCTTTCTAACACAAGAAACCACAAAACCCTAACCCTAACTTTATCGTTTCCGTCACCCTCAAAACACCAATGATCGTTGACGGGGGCGTTAGGACTAGCCTTTAGTCTTTGTTTTGCCGGCGAAGTCCTTTGACACGAAAGCTTATACTTTGGCTCCTCAAAGTACCTTAAAGATCACTAAACTCCCCTCCTCAAATTGTTTTACTGGACATGAAGATGGCACAGAAAAATCTTCAGGCGTAAGAGGAAAGGAAAAAGGGTTAAAAGAAGAGGAGGAGACTCGCCGAAGTACGCCTGCGGCGCCGGAACTCTGGTGAGTTCCTAGGGTTTTAAATGGAGGGGGTCGAAGAAGGGAGGAGAAAGAACAGAGGATTTTGATTTTTGAAGGGCCGTATATATTGGTTCCAACTTGTGGATGTTTTACTTTATTTTGGTTTTGAGGCTATGAACACAAGTTATTTAATTTCAAATGTTTTATTTTAGTTTTAAGAATTCCGCTCCGTGACTTTGAAAAGCCTTGGTCGTTATCCCAGTGGCGGTATTATTTTGGTTATTTCCTAAATTGAGTTTTATTAAGGGTAAAAGGGAGGTTTAAAAAGGGGAAATTTTCAAGGTATTACAATTTGTCAGACTCGAATCTCCTTTGTAGATTTCGTACGACTTTTTATTAATGAATTTTTTACTATTAAAAAATAATATAAAAGTTTCATAAACAAAAAGAAAGTCAAAGGCTTAAAGCCCATAAAGAAGAAGCTAACAATGGTCAAAGCCTCAGTCTATATGGAAATGAACTGTAAATTAAGGGTTTATTTGGTATCGTTGTGGTTTTCAGTTTTTGGTCTTTGTTTTTTAAAATCATATGATATAGGAAAAATTGGTAAAAATAATCCCAACTTTAGCGCGTTCGCTCAAAATAATCCCACTTTTGAATTATTTTTTAAATAAGTCGACCTTTGGGGTCATTTGCTCAAAATGGTCCCAAGTGACCGATAACCTGTTAAAGAGGTAATTTTTTTTTGTTTAAGTGACACGTGTCACCACGTGATTGGTTGAAATTATATATATATAGGATTAGGATCATGTAAAAACAAGTCTTAGGGTAAAAACTGAAAACAATTAATCCTAGCCGTAGATTATAATCTAGCGAATGACATCTAATGTATATATCCTAATTTTCTCTCTCCTCCCGTGAAAACACTTTCTCTCTCCTCTGTTATTTTCTTCCTCCTCTTTCTTCTTTCTTCACTTTCTCTCTCCTAATTTCTCGACAATTTTTCCCCAATTTTCACGCTACTTTTTCAAACACCGCTTCAATTACTTTGATTTTTAGCAATTTCTCAGCTCTATGATCTATTATCAGGTGAGTTCTTTGTGGTAATTTCGCTATTTTGCACGATTTGAGGTTATTAGGTTTCTGAAATTTTGTTTGCTTCAATTTCATGAGTATTTTTTTGTAGATTCAACTGGATATTTAATGTCTATTGTGTTTTTCGTGTATGATTTTTGTTTAATTTTGTAATTTTGCAAGTTTTTTTTTATTTATTTTTTCGATTTGATTTGATTTTTTGATTTTCAACTTAAGTTCGTTTTAGTAGTAGTATTTTTTAAATGTATTTTGTTTAATTTTGCTTAATTTAAGTAAACTAGTTTTTTATTTGTATTTTTGCTCGGAATTCTACTTTTGTTGTTGTTCTTCACCTTCTTAGTAACACAATTTTTGTGTTTCTGATTTTATTAAATTAAGTTTGGGTAATTTTAGTAACATGCATGTTTGATTATGACGAGAATAGCTCAAATTAAGATAATCATGTTTCAATTTTAGATGATAAGAAACTTGATTTGATTTGAATTGAGCATAATTTTGTTTTTGTTGATTTCGATTTGTGCTTATTTTTGCGGATATATAGTTCGATTTTAGATTTCGAATTTCAGAGATTTAGTGTTCGAATTTAGGGTTTGATTTTAGCTGATTTTGATTTTGATGTTGAGGAGTTCAGTTTTGTTGAGTTGCCAGACCGGTAGGATTGTGTTTCTCCTTGATGAGTCATTAGCTATTTTGAGTGTCTCTTCTAAAAAAAGTTTTGTATGGGATATGAAAAAGGATGGTAAAGGAAAGGAGACGTGGAGGATATGGTTTTCAGGGGACTTGAATTTAGAGGCTTCTGATTTTATCAAAGATTGCACTAACAAGAATAATGTAGTGATTCTTCATGTTAAGAACACTGATGATTTTTGTAGTACACTCTAGAAATGCATTCTATTTCCTCCATGGAATTTAACTAGCTTTTTTATTCTAATTTTTGCTTAAATTAATATATTAGGTTTCAACTAGACGGGCATTGAGAGCTCAGATTGCTGCTACTCTGGTATTGTCTGATATGAACATTGTCAGAGATGAAGTTCTTGAAAAGCTATCTGAATTCAGAATAATAAGGAGTGAAGTTGCAAAATATGTTTTTGATGGGATTAAGAAGAAAACAAAGCAAGGTAAAAAGGAAAAGAAAGTATAGGCAGACTAACGAATATGTGGATGAAGTTTTTTGCTCGGAAGTATTTGTATTTTGCACAGAAGTAGGAAATCTAATGTAATGATGTAGTTTGCATCAACAAATGGATAATCTAACAAATTTGTATAAGTGTTAATATAGAACAATATGATATGTTCCAGTTCATACAAAGCTTTTGAATTGGTGGTATTGGTAGTTCTTTTGATATGTAATCCTTAATTGACATTCAAGAAGTTTAGTGAAATATATATTAGTTATAAATTTGGTGCCTATGGTATAAAAAATGGTATCTATATTATTTAGAAAGGTATCTATGTTATTTAAAAGGTTTCTATATTATAAGGTCACTATGTATTTAAAAAGGTAGCTTTGTTATTTAAAAAGTTTCTATATTATAAAGTCACTATGTATTTAAAATGTTATTAGTTCAATGTGTTATATATAATTAAGTTATAATGCAAAATTGTCACCATATTCATTATTCTATTTTGTATACATATGTGACAAGTTTTCAAGTACCTATGATAAATATTTACCTAAAAATGCCTAACTTTTTTTTTGTCTTAAAAAAGAAAATAAAAACTTGAAAAAGATATTATATGACTTTTTATAGTCACTATGTAAGTAAAATGACATTATATGACATAAAAATTTCCAATTTCTATGTGATGCAAAAGGATCACTATGATATGCAAGAACGTTACTATGTGATTAAAAAGATTTTTATAATAATCTGTCTCTATTTTTAAATAAAAAGTCGAAATGTAAGGTAAAAGTATCGTATTTATATTAATCTATTCTTAAGCTATTCAATTAGTATATCAATTAAAAGAACGAGCCCCTCCTTCACTAACTTTTTATTGGCTTAATCGATGTGGGTTAGAAGAATTGTTAAAATCTGAGTATTTTTTATAACGGTTGCTATATCATAATAAAGGTCATCATATCCTTAAAAAGGTTACCACAGAATAAGGTTCCAATACGATGAAAAAAAATCACTATGACATTATAAACACGTGCTATAATATAAATTGAAGTTATTATATGCCAAAATGTCACTACATCAAAATAACAATATAAAGGTCAATAAAAAGTTTTACAATAAAAGGTCACCCTATCAATAAAATTTTAACAATAAAAGGTCCCTGTTTAATATATGTGAAACAATAACAGTCACTGTATCAATAAAAAGGGCACTATAGCAATGTGTTATTTCTCTCCTATCATCTCCTCTATTTCAGCACTAGGCCGTTTGATGTTGCTTCTTGTAAATATGAAGTCGTTTTGCAGCCTTTCTACTCTTCTTTGAAATCCTGAAATCATGTACATGAACATATAAAGTGAAAAACCAGTGGGAAGTAAACATAGTAAAAAAATTATTTTTTTTTCTACAAAAATACCTCATTCAAGTTCAATTTTTTTTGCGGACAATTCCGACTATCATGGTTTGTTCTCTGACCACAAGTTCTACAAAGTCTATCTTTCCTTTGGCTTTCCTCAATAGCTATCTCTTTGTCAGATTTTTTCCTTTTTCCACTACCACTACCTTTGTTGGAAGACTTGTTTGGAGGAAGAATATCAATAACTATGTCATTATATCCAACAAATAATTCGATGTGTTTATTTTTTGCCTCACGTTTATCAACTGGACTTATAGAATCCAAGGCTTTCATATCATTTTAAAAAGATATTAGCTTAGACAACAATGACTCAAGGCATTCAATTTTCTCCTCACAAATACTTACACATGAAAAAAACCTGCACCATAAATCACCAACTAGCTTTTGCTTCTTATCCTTCTCTGCCCCATCAAGCAAGTTGTTTAAGCCAAAAATTGGTTTCTTCATAGCTTCTTTAGTCCAACGATGCAAAACATATTGCCTTGGAATCTCAATCAAGAACTTTCCTTTCATGACTAAGAGAATGTGACGACATAATATTCCAACAAATTCAAACATTTTACAAGAGCATGAAGCAGCATTAGAACACAAGACATATGTGACATGATAGCTTTTTTTCCTTGTGTTGTCAAAAATTCTATATTGCTCAATCCCTTCTTCTTCTTTGATGGTAATACTACTTATACCACAATTGTACAAAGCATGCTTGAATTCCTTTTGGAATATATAAAATACATTATGAGTGTAAACAAATGCAGCATGCTTTTCCAAGTGCAAGGGGGTGACAAGTTGGGGATGTGTAGTTTTCGAAGTAGCATTCAACTTGTCTTATGTGTGCCTTTGAGCATCTATTGCAGATTCATAACGAAACCACAACTCAACCAATAACAAATGCTGATTGGTGAAATTAGTGAAAAAGCTATTTTCACTCTCTGATCTTTGAGTTGACCTTAAAATCCCACCCATAAAAAGGTCACAAAAGTAAGAAGGAATCCACATATTCCTTATATTATACATATTTTTAAACCAATCTTCATTCAATAAATCAAATTCAGACATCACAGACTGCCAACCAATTTCAAATTCTTCTGGTTCAAGGTCTCTATTCCAAACAACAAAGTTCAGTTTATGAAGAAAGTCAGTTTCTAAGCATAATTTGGGTCCTACCTTTTGTGGCACTTTTTTCATAATGTGCCACATACAAAACCTATGTTTTGCCTTATCAAGAACTTTTTCAATTGCCACTTTCATCGCAGGGTCTTGATCTGTCATGATACAGTAGGCTGACAATTATTCATTGCCTTTAAGAAAGTTTCAAATAACCATTCAAAGGATTCAATAACCTCCTTTGCAAGTAAGCCTATCCCAAAAGTCACACACTTACCATGGTGATCAACACCCGTAAATGGGGCAAAAACCATAGAGTATTTGTTGGTGTCAAATGTTGTATCAAATGTAATCATATCACCGAACAACGAATAATTTTTTCTACTAATTGCATCTGCCCAAAATACTCTTGTCAAGCGTTGATGTTCATCCATACAATGCTCAAAGAAAAAGGCACCTTCAGTGTTTTCAGCTTTTTCTTTCAAATTGTTTATAAACATCGAAGCATCTTTCTCTTGTATGTAAGCTTTTAAATCTCGATTAAAGTTCTCGAAATCATTCAATGTTGCACCTATATTATCATAGCTACCAAGATGTTCTTTCATCAACTTATAAGACTTGTTTGGACCAATGTTCAATCTAGAGTTGTCAAAAATGAATTTTTTCTGGCCAAGTTTAAGGTTTCCAACATTTTCCAAAAAATTCATTGTGTTGGGAGAAGCAAGATTATGGCTATGAGATTCATGAAAGACATAAACCATCCATTTTCCATCTAAACGTTCTCTAAACCCAATCATTGCATTACATCCAACACGATTTATGGTTCTTTTTCTAGCTTTACGATTTTCATCTTTCTTAGAAACTTTTGCTTTAGTTTCACCATCCTTCGTAAACCCTTGTTTATTACAATGTAAATATTTCAAGTAAACTTTATCACTATCTTTAATTCTCTTTTCAGTACCTAGTCTTACCACAAACCCACCAAATCTAGCATATTGCTTATAAAAATCAACACCTTTAAGTAAGGAATCAAAAAGCATACCAAGTGTAGGCTTTAGTTCAGGATGACAACACGGTATAAACTCTTTTGTTCCTCTAGGAGTGTAACACACACTTGGGCCCTTTAGTGACGGTAAGTTTTCAGCAACATTGGTAGTTGTAGATGTATTTGAGCAACTACCTTCTTCTAACTCCTCTTGCATTATTTGCATATAATATCAAATATATGGTTTAAAATGGGTACTATAATAAAATAAATATGATCCATTCAATGGTGCAACTAATTGGACACCAACAAAAACAATCTAAAATATATGGTTATGGTATCATAAAAAAGAGTTACTATATGGTATTAAGCAAGTTGTTAGTCATTTAAGCAAATACACAAACACCTTATGTGCAACAATTTCTCCTAGTGTTTAATATCATATATCTAGGAAAAAAAAACTTTAATATATATATATATATATATATATATATATATATATATATATATATTGCAAATCCTTATACAAAAACGAAAAAAGAGCATATTGTTGATGAGGATTGAAACTACGAGTTGATGAGATTGAAATAAAAAAACAGAGCACTATTATAAAAACAGTCTACAATAATCACATACAAGAAAATAACCTACCATGCGCAATCAACTAGAAATTCAAGAAATTCAACTTATATTCAAGGAAATAATCACAGTTATATCGGTATTGTAAGCCGCAATCAACTAGAAATTTAGCTAAAAACAGAAATTAAAGAATGAAGAACACTTACTAAGATTATTGAGGAAGCCCCAAATTATTAAAGAATCACGAGCCCTTAATTTTGGGAGTAAATAATCAAAGTAGCCCTAAAATTTGACGAATTGAGGAATCGACGATTTGATAAGGAGATGAAAAGAGGATTTGCTGAGATTTTGCGTTTTTCAGCAAAATTAACAGAGGATTTGCTGAGATTTTGTGTACCTTGTATTTCAACCGTTAGATTATATCATTAATAATCAATGGCTGAGATTGCTGTTTTTAGTTTTCACCATAAGCTCTATTTTAGCGGAACCTCCCCGTATATTTATATATATATATATATATATACACACACACAATAATTTACAAAACAAAATTGTAAGTATTTTCGTAATGAAATATATTATTGTTTCTTACTCAATTATATTTGTTTTGTAAAACCTTAAGAAATGTATTTATATGTTTTGTTTAATGATTTATATCAATAAAATTTTTTTTTTTTTTTGAAAGGAATAAATTTATTTTATTTGATTAAAAGTTAATTTTAATATTTTGAACCTACGATTATGTAGTATAATGAAAAGGGTTTACGTGGCACATAGACATTATTAAGAACGTCTTTTAATATCTTAGTATAGACTATAGATAATAGATCAACCTTCAATATTAGTTTACAAAAGAAATAAAATTATCTTTATTGACGTAGGTGTCCCAAGTTTTGAACTACATTGTTCTTATGTCATGTTAACATAATATGAGTTGTTGGCTTGCCACACATATTGTTTGAAATTTCAAGCATGTATTGTATGCATATTAGCATATATAAGTAGATTTAATTTAGTACATTGACAATACACTTGCATTTTTTTTAAGAACCACAAAGAGGATTAGAATAGATAAATTAGAATACACATCATCAAGAACACGGGATGAGATTACATTACTTCACAAGCATTGACCAAGGTTGGAAGTGAGCAAATTCGTGTGCCACTCTATTTCCACCGTGCAAATAAAAAGACCATTTAACACGATCAAAGTTTGAGTACAACTTTAAAGAATCATTAATAGTTAAGTGAAAAGAGCTTGATCCATTAATAAAATATTATCAATAACTGCACTTAATATTATACTACCTCCATTTCTAAAAGTTCGTCTCACTTACAATTCATATGGTAAAACTTAAATAATTTTGACCATGTCTTATGATTTATACAATAAAAATAAATTAGCTTGTGAAATCTTATACGATTTCCCTAAATGAAAATTATCTAAATATTAACTTTTTTATAATTTTCACCTATAAATTGCCAAACATGTTTATGGTCAAAGATGCATTAGAGAGTACACAAAAGCAAAGTGAGTCGAATTTTCAAAAATGGATGAAGTACAATGTTTTCTATAGTTTAAAGATTTGCAATTGCGTACAAGGGCACAAATCTAGCAAAGTACTTATTTAGAAGGATTAATACTGTTTTTTAATCCCAACTTTGCCCAATTTAATTTAAATAATCCCAACTTTGCCCAATTTAATTTAAATAATCCCAACTTTCGATTATTCTGCAATAATCCCAACTTTCACCTGCGTTTTCTTTCTTCCATCCCAAACCGGTCAATGACCTCTTATTCTAGGTCACTTGACACATGTCAAGTTGTAATTGGTTCAAAAAATTAAAAAAAATATTAAAAAAAATTCAATAAAAAAAAAAGAAAAAAAAACCAACCAAGCCACCACCAGCCCACAACCGCTGGCGGTGGCCACTCACCCAAAACAACCATCTCCGTAGCCCCAGGCCCCAAAACCTCCCCAGGTTCGCTCTACCCCCGCGAAACTGGCCCACTCTGCCTTCCCCCATCCCCTGAACTAGCCATAGCCAAAACCCTTGTCTTGAAACCGCCACCCATAAAACCCGAAACCACCATAACCAAAGCCCACAACCTTGAAACCGCCACCCATAACCCCCGATACCACCTGTAACAACAACCCTGACCTTCGAAATCACTTCTCCAACCCCCAAAACCACCAAAAATGCAACTCCTTCACTTTCTTTCTCCTCCAATTGCAGGAAAACGCAAATGATGCATGGTAAGTTGAGGGGTGGCTGATTGTGGGTCGTCATTGTTGGTGGTGGGTTGAGGGGGAGGCTTTGTTGTGTGGGTCGCAAATGATGGTCGGATTTAGGGGTGGTGGTTTCGGGGTTTCAAGGGTGGTGGCAATTAACTGAGGGGACGGAGGTGGGCGTTTCTTGTTTTGGTGAGGGTGGGCGGTGGCTAGATGGTTTTGTTGAGGATGGATGGTGGCTAGCTAGGGTAAAATGGTGGTGGTTGCCATGGCAGCTAATAGCCATGGATGAACAACAAAGGGGAGGAGAGAGAAAATGGGTCTTCGGGTTTTTTTCTTTTATTTTATTTTAATTAATTTATTTTTATTTTGGTGAACCAATTAGCATGTAACACGTGTCAAATAAATGTTTTTAAATTTTTTTAACCCTTTCTTCAAGTAACCGGTAATCCGGACCGAGTAAAGAAAAGACACCCTACAGTTGGGATTATTGCAGAAGTTGGGATTATTTAAAATAAATTGGTCAAAGTTGGAATTCAAAAATAGTATTAATCCTAGTTATAATTTAGAGTGTATGAGCGAGTAGGTCACCTTAGATTTCTCATCTATTCAAAAATACAATGATGGAGATATAGCATCAAACATACGGAGTAACACAAATTTATAATAGTGATTATATGCCATGATTTTCTTTTGATCTGTCATGATTGATGATTCCCGTCTTACATAACTTGAATTACCAAATTTTATACTTGTACTACGCATTTATTCTCTACATTTTGCAATAAGACCAAACTAGTATTTTATTGGAAGAATTGACAAAAATAATTCCAATTTTCGCCGGTTCGCTCAAAATAATCCCAATTTAAGATTATTTTTAAATAATTCAAACTTTGGAGGGTATTCACTTTAAACGATCCCAACTGGTCACCGAACCTGTTATATCAGGTTACGGGGACACGTGGCACCACATGATTGGTTGAATTTTTTTTTTAAAAAAAAAAGAAAAAATAAAAAATAAAAAATAAAAGAGGACCAGCCACCGAGAACCCTCAATACCGCCGGCGTTAGCTGCTTTCGGAGCCCCCAACCACCATCGCCGACCTTCTCTCATGCCGGCGTCGGCTTCCAGACCATCCTTCCCTCACGCCGGCACTTCCCTCCTGCTTCCCTCTAAATTACCTAACCTCAACTGCAAATAAACCCAAAAGCATAAAAAAAACCATCCCACCACACAAACCCCCCAAATCGGCGCTCCCCCACCCTCGAAACCCTTGCGCTAGGGTTCCAGGGTGGGGGAGTGCCGATTTGGGGGATTTGTGTGGTGAGGCTGTTTTTTTTAAGGGTTTTGGGTTTAGATTTGGAGGTTCACGGTGGGGGTTTTCGGGGAAAGGGCGCCGGGAAAAGGTGGAGCCGGCGGTTGGGGAGGGGGTTTGGGCTAGGCCGGTGGGAGAAGGGACGCCGGAGTGCCGAACTTGGGTGGTGGTGGGGTTGTCGTGGGTTGGGGTTGGGGTTGGGTGTTCTTTTTTTTTTCCCATTTATTTTCAGCCATTCACGTGGTGACAGCCGTTCACGTGGTGACACGTGTCACTTAAACCCCCCAAAAAAACATTACCTCTTTAATAGGTTACCGATCACTTAGGACCATTTTGAGCAAATACCCCCCAAAGTTCGGATTATTTAAAAATAATCCAAAGTTGGGATTATTTTGAGCGAACCGGCGAAAGTTGGGATTATTTTTGTCAATTTTTCCTATTTTATTTAGGGAAAAACCAAACTAGTTTTAATTTCGGTTTTTTTACCATATATCCCTGAGTTTTTTGTTTATTCACCGTATACCCATGAACTTTTTTAAATTCATCATATACCCCCGAGTTTTTACAAAAATACACCATATACCCTTGATGACTAATTATTGTTAACTTTGTCAGTCATTCTGAGTAATTGTGACCCGAAACCACCCTAAAAACATTCCCCTACCCCGAAACCACCCACATTCCTTTTTTCCACCCCTAAAACTACCCCAAATTCTCATCCTCAAAATCAATCATACGGATATAGTTATGGAGATTTGGAGTGGTTTTGGGGGTTGGAGAAAGGATAGGAGTGTTTACGAGGATGGGGGGAGAGATCTAAGGTGGTTCGATGCATAATTAACCAAATTTCATTAGGGGTATATGGTGAATTTTTATAACAAATCAGGGGTATATGGTGAATTTAAAAAATTTTAGGGGTACATGATGAATAAACAAAAAACTCAAGAGTATATGGTGAAAAAACCGTTTTAATTTGAGTAGCTACCGTTTTCCTTCAAGTAAGTCAGACTGAGGCGGTGAGGCGGGCTGAGATTTAAGTTAATATAACTAATTAGAAGCTATTGTTACTAATTGAAAGTTTGAAACTA